CTTCCCTCATGTACAGCACTGTGGATAGTTCTTAATAAGAATACAACCTGAAGGATCTTCATTTGGATAAACCCAGTTTGATATAAATGTGAACGATAAGGATAAATGATCAAATGGAATTGTAAAATAATTTATGATTTTCTTTTTCTTTATCTACATTAGCCTTTGGCCTGTTAATAAACAAATAGTGAATCTTTGTTTCTTTCTCTTTCTCCCCATATTGTACCTTTCTGGTAGTCTTGACCTCTTTGTGTATAAAGCATACCCCTATGGCAGAGTGTTTCATACCATCCATGAATTAATTTCAATAAGGGTGTTTGTTTTTTTACTCACTTTTTTAAAGAATCAGAAACTAAAGATGTAAAGTAATATACTGTGGCTTTATGAATTTAATAAAATGTATCCAGCAGTATCAACCAGTCTCACAATATTTTAGGTTATTTAAATAAGATCTTCTTTTGAAAGTCAAAAAATAAATAAACAAATGAATAAAAGAAAAGATTCAACAGATTCAATAATGTCAATAATCTTTAATTAATTATTGAGAACCATGCAAATAATTTTTGACATCCCAATTTTCATAGTTTTTTTCTCCATCAAATTCAACTATTCTTTTACTCTCAAATATAGCTTTTTACATTATTCTACCTTTTAAAGGACCTCTCTAGGTGCCAGTGAGTTATTGGTGGTGGTAGGGAATACTACCTGAGGGCACCAGGAAATGGGGCTGTGTTTTTACCATTAGCGCTTGGACACTAAAGCACAGAGCTGCCAGAAAGTAACCTTGCCAACAACTTGGTGGAAACAGAGACCATTTGCAACAAGGAAAGGACCCTTTTCATAAAGGACTCACAGATGGTGTGGCATTTTCTGGTGGATTCGTCTTCCCAAAAGCATTCCAGCATTCTAAGAGTCCTAGGGATTCCACTTTGTTTCTGGCAACAAAAGCAGACGGCAAATTGTGGCCTAAGGCGGGTTTTTACCGTCTTAATAAAATAATGGAGAATTATCAATATCCAATCCCCTATATCCAGAATTTTTTTACACATCTGCCCCGTATGTCCATTTTTTCTAAAGAGAATTTGGATGTCCCCAAAACTGCTGCCATAACTCTTTTTGGCCTTTTCAGATTTTTCGCTTTAAGACATCCTTTGCCAGCAGCTGAATAACACCTGTCATACATGCGTTTTTTCATCATCTAGAAGCATGTGGCCTGATTATAATTGCTGCAAAATTTCTGTTTGTTACTAATTTTTTAAGCTTTAAAGTCAACAACAAATTGTGTTCCCTCCTCTGTGTTTCTAGGGCAGCTGCTTGCCTTTTTCAACCATTCGAGCAGAGAAATGTGTTAAAAAATACAGTTTTTATTACATGGATTTGTCAGTTCTATACTTGGCAATTTTTTTTTCTTGCTAATCACAATCCCTTAAAATTTACCTCTTTTAAAAAATTTCTGATCCCTGGTAAACACATCAGCAACAAAACCTTGCATATGTTTCTTAGTTCACCACCAACATTCAGCTCAAGCCTGTCAATTGTCCTAGTCTGTACAGTTTACCTTGTTACTGATTTTTCTGCTATGGCAGTAGTGATTCGGATAATGTAACACTTCACTCTGCACCCACAGGTCTCAAATTGGAGAAGAGGAAGGTGGAGGAAAGGATCCTCTACTGCTCCAATGTTTCCACCACTCACCCACTACATCTAGTTTCTGTTTTGTGGCAACAGCACGTTTTCAACTTCATCCATTCCCTTGTACATCGGCATGTCTGGCCCTATGTAAGTTCGGTCAGTTCTATTGTAAGTTTATTTGGCCTGATCTGCAGAGGTGGGACATGGTGAGCCATCAAGTCATCTCTATGTATTTGTTCTGCCCAGCCACTGAAGCAGGTGAGTCAAATCTCCACAATTTAATTCACCGTGTTGATTAGACTCAAGTGGTTCAGTGGCTGGGCTGAACAAATTCATGACAGAGATGACTTAGTGAGTCCACCTCTCCCAACTCTGCTCACCTGCAAAACAAGCATGGGGATGGGTTGTAGTGTGTGTCCCATGTGAACATGCAAAGGCTCACTGATACAATAAGGCACCTCTTGAACCATTGCCCATTCCCTGTCGGCGTTTTAATCCCGTTTAGTGGACCTGGTGGGTCCCCTGCCTCTTTTACAACATTTCACACATCTCTTGACCACGATCGACAACAATCACTGGCCAGAGGCAGTTCCCCTCGCATCCATAAAATCAGCAGTTGTGGTCTGAGTATTCTTATCAACATAGGTTTGGTGTTTTGGCCCCTACTTCAGATATGACCTCTAACAGAGGTCCACTGTTTTTTTCTGAGCCTTTGTTCACCATGGCGGAAGGCCTGGGGTGAAAAATTCATCACACCACATCATACTATTCACAAACTAATGGGTCATGGAATGGTTTAACAGATCGTTAAAAGCCCCACCCTTTGCCTCTTTGACCAGTGACAGCTGAGTTGACTGCCGTCCATGAGTCCTTATTTTTAATTAATTAAATTTTTTTTTTTGAGTTTTCTTTATTGAGTTGCAATTACCTGGGATCATGCAGGATCTTTGTGCATCCCCAGCATAAGTGGTTTTCGCTCAGCCTGTGTGGGTCCCGCATGGTTTTTGGTCTAATGCTCCCACATCACCTTTTCTCCCATCTGTACATCCTTTCCTTCAAGGGATTTTTGTTGTATTCCCGGTCCTGTACCCCTGTTTGCTACAGTCATTTGTCCCAATGAGTTTGGAAGCTACTAAATTTGTCTTAATCAGATATGATGCACATACTGTAAATAACCTCTTCGCTTGTTATATGGTGGTTCATTTAGGGTGCTTGAGACTGGCCTTAAGAACTTTGCTTTAGATTCTGGGCTGTAAGGAAACAGTATAGGTAGGCTTGAACCAACCAATGATTTGGTTGACAATCATGTGTTAATGGCCCAGACTCGTCACCATGGACAACCACCCTGTGTGGGATTGAACGGACTGTTGTACTACCTCTAGTAACCTTCATCAGCTGCCAGATACTGAGCCTGCTTCAGTGTTTCCCCATCTTCCTGGAGCTTTCAAAGCTGGATAAGAGGTGTCCAGATTCAAATGTTTTGGCTGGTTGGTCAAGCCCAGGGTTCGGAAGTAGCTGAAGACCCTTCTGGGTGTTTGGGTAGGGTCATGTGTGGCATACTAATTGGGGCTCCACTGACGCTCAGAGTTTAGCAGTTAAATCTATTGAGAGATGATTTTTTTTTCTGTGTGTGTGTGTCATCTGTTGTTGTAATGGATTTAAAAAAGAGATTGCACCTGTATCCTGCTAAACTTAATCTCTGATCTTCCACATCTTCCTTTTGAATTAACACAAACTTCTCTCACACACAGTTTGATGCAGCTCCACTCCTCAAATTTATAATAGACTTATGAAAAACAAGAATTTATAATAGCCGCCAAGAGAGAGACATAAGGCTTCCATAGAATTTAAAATCCCTTGTCTCATATATAAAGTCTTAAATGGCCAAACTCCATCTTATGTTAGAGAAATGATTTTTCCTTATGTTCCTAACAGAGCAGTTAACTCTGAATCTTCAGGTTTACTAGTGTTTTTAGAATTTCTAGAAGAATAGGAGGCAGATCATTTAGTTATCAGGCACCTCTCCTGTGGAACCAACTACAAGTTTTAGTCCGTGAGGCAGAAACCCTGTCTACTTATAAGGTTAGGCTTAAAACTTTCCTTGTTTATAAAGCTTATAGTTAGAGAGGCTCAGGTTATCCTGAGCTATCTATATAGTTATGCTGCTATAACTCTGCGGCTAAGACTGCCACAGGACATAGGGACCCCTTTTCATCATGCTGCTTCATTCCATCTCTATTCTCCCATTCTGCAGAATTTATTCTTTCTGTCTCTAACGTTATGCCCTTTCTGATTTTTCCACTAGTAGCTTAATCTTGACTGCTCCTGTTTGGCTGGGACACCATCCTGGAGAGAAACATCAGCTGTGCTGCTGCCATCAACACCTTTGTTTGTAGATATTGGAGCTTGGCCTGCTTTTCAGTGTAGTCCTGTTTCTCTGACTGTGACTAACTGTAAGTTAGCCATCCTCTGACATGGGAGCTGGTTCGGAACTCTTCTGCCTGGCTGTGTGTTTACTGGACAGGGAGCTGTGGAGATGGTTGACAGTTACCTTGTATCTCTGCTTCTTTCTGTATCTCGGCTTCTGTCTCCCTGAACCCCATTTGGTCTCTGCAGATGGCCGCTCACACTGAGCCTGGTTCTACTGGAGGTTTCTTCCTGTTTAAAGTAGGGAGTTTTTCCTCTTCACAGTTGCTACAAGCATGCATAGTGTCAGGGATTGCCTTCGAGTCTATGAGTTGATCCAATCAACTGATTTTCCTTAGATAGAAAACTTTGAATCAATTTAACTGTATAATGTGGTTGAATTGTCTTTATAAAGTGCCTTGAGATGACATGTGTTGTGAATTGGCTCTATATAGATACATTGAATTATATATATATTTTTTGGGGTGAATTATAGTTTTAAGTGAAGTCAACATCTATCCATTTTCTGTCAGGCTTTATCCCAGCTTGGGTTGCGGGGGGTACTGGTGCCTATCTCCAGCTGCCTACAGGCAAGAGGTGGGGTACACCCTGGACAGGTCGCCAGTCCATCGCAGGGCAACACAGAGGCAAGTAGGACAAAGAACCATTCACACTCCCACCTAAGGAGAATTTAGAGAAGCCTAAAAGTCTTCTAGCCTAACCTAACCGTCATGTTTTTGGACTGTGGAAGGAAACCGGAGTACC